AAATGGAAAATATTGGATGTGCGGAAGGACAAACACACTTGCCGCACAGCTTGGTTCCTAATGTCCTTTTCCTTTCTCTCAGGGCTAGCTCTTGGGGGTTTTTTTCCCAGGCTGCCCACATCTTTGCTGCGCAACCTGATGCTGATGCTTCATTTCAGAACAACCTCTTTTCAAAACCAACTTTTGATGCTTGGGAATCAGCAGATTCACAGGCCTTCCCGACTCCTAAGTTCATTTTCTTCTTTTATTTACCATTGGCTGCAGCGTGTTCTGAGCAAACTCTCATTCTGCCTCTGAGCAGAGCCAACCTGCCAAAAGGAGCTGATCCATAAATCTTTCCTTCCTTTTTCTTTCTTTCCAAAACAGAATTAGCTGAGTTTGCCCAGGAGGGGAAATTGTTCTGCCATTGCCTGCAGTCAAACAGTGCAATTAATTAGTGCTTTCCCTTTTCTCTTCCCCCTTGTCTGCATTTGCCTATGTTAAAGGTATGCAGTGTAGATCACATCCAGCCAAGAGAGGGAGGAGGAGGGAGAAGAGGGAAAGAAAAGATGTGTTTGAAGTACTTAATTTTAATTATACTTTTGAAATGCGATCCACAATGGTGGTATATATTGCATTAAGTCCAGTGGTCACAAAAAGTTCAGTCAAAAACCTCCCAACAGACAGCTGGAGCTGAGTGGAGCTTGGGTTGATAAAAAGTCTTAGTACATTTGGGACCAGTTCTCTCCTGCCTTGTACCCCAGGTTCACACCGAGCATGAGACGCTGCCACCCTGCTCTAATGTATTCCTGAGAAATGGTTAGGAAAAATTCACATTCCTGATGAAACGCTTCTGAGGGACGATGGGGTGATTTTACACCTGGTTTTTCAACCAGCCAAGCTCCCTTTGAATTTTTGAGTTTATTTTGTGTTGTGCTGCAAGTATTTTCCATGCCTCTGATTAGGAACCTGGACTCCTGGGTTCTCCAAATGCTGCCTCAGGTTCAGAGTGTAATTTGCTAGCAATCAATTAATCTCTGTGACCCGGCTGATTCAGCTGAAAAATGGGTATAGTACTAATTCCCCTCGTAGACACTTCAAAGATTTTTTAAGGGGCTTTTTTATTTGAATGTTTTGAGAGTCTCAAACAGTGCTATGTGCAGAAATTAAAGCAGTTTTTATTCCATTTAGCCCTTGGTTCAATTAACCCTAACATTGTCCGCTAGAGGTACAGATATGGCTGGACAGGAAGAAGAGTCCAAATTTTGCTCAAACTCATGATAGTTAAATGATCATTTTTTTTCTAACCATTAAGGAAAAACCTTGCCTACACACTAGAAAAGGAGGATTCCTAGCCTTTGGCTGGTATAAAGAGCTCATTTCTAGTTCTAATGGTCCAGAAATTACTGGATCTTGAATCTAACCCAGGACTCTTCTGAATTTGAGAATGACACAGTTATGGGTGGCGGTGTTACAACAGATGCAATAAGGCTGTATTGTGTTCAGACACACAGGAATAGACAGCCCCTGTCTTGAGGAGAACCAGGCCATTGTACCACGCTTCACCTAGATTTTGAGGGGGCTGCGAAGCATAAAACATTTGTAGCTCACTGCTGAGGATACAAATGCATTTTTCAGCGTGTGGCTCCTGCTTGGAAAGTTTTACTTTTCCGTGCTTAAATGGGTGGTGATTCTGATTTGGAAATAGTGTTGGAGACAGCGATATGTGACAGTGTAAAGTACATGCAGATCCCCTTGAAACTGTTCAGCAAGACAGAAGTGCAGAATGGAGCAGCAGCGCTCGCCTGTACGCCGGTGGGACAGAGCATGTCATGACAGCACGGAGCAGACAGAGCGGTTTGCCAACATTTCATTTGTGAGAGATTAAGAAATTGCTTTATTCCCACAATACCACGCCAGACTAAAAAGGGATCCAAACACCTCTAGATTCAGATCCAGACTTTTCAGCTTTGAATCAGTTCGGACCTTTACATTCGTCCCTTGATTTGATTTGGATTCAGTGATTCAACCGCTGAATCGGGCCGAATCTCCTCCGAATCGAATCACCACTCGAAGCTTTGCACAGCCGTAGTGGGCACTCATCTGGGTGGCTCTCATCCTCCCCTCGCTCACCTCTGTCTGACTGCCATCCTTGGAGCTTGGCATTTAATTCCATTGGGCTCCTTTGAAATGTGTTGCTGTTTCACTCAGCCTGCCTCAATAGGATCTTATCCTGGTTTACACCAGTGTGAAGGGATAAGTTTGCTCATCAACTTTAGTTTGTTTCTGTATCTGCAACCTTCTCCCAGGTAGCATCTGTTGCAAAAGTCGCTTTCCAAACACTCTCCTTGCTACATCTCTGCACCATAAATTCTCCTTTTTCCTTCTGAATTAGGCTTGAGGAGCCTGAGATGTGCTGTCTGGCACTGGGGTGAACATGTCTTTTATACGACACTTCAGTGATTTGTGGTCACTTCATGGTCATGCCAGCTCAGTTATTTGGCCCAGACCTGACCTACAAGTCTTAATTATATTCCTAAACAATAAAAGAATAGAAAATAATCTGTGCCAGCAGCTCTAACAGGTTATCAGTCATCAGTGACTTGGCAACTGCAAACCATTCCTTGTTGCTCATGAGGAACAAATCTGACTCAAGTGTTGCAAGTAAGCATTTTGATATCGGTACTGCAATGGGGGTGTGATGAGCTGGTCTGAAAATCTTATCATAGGCATTGTAGGATGCTGAATGCTGTGGAAAATATGCCTTTTTAGGTGTTCAAGTAGGTGCTGAGTACTTGAAAACCTGCATCTGAGCTCTTGTAAAAACATGACCCCATACGCTTCCACACAATAACCAAGAATTGTCCGTTGCCCAGCACTCCTGAATCTCTGCAATATTAAGCAAGCATGCTCAGGCCAGTGCTCATTTCCCATTTCTTCATCCTTGCATATGCTTGCTTAGCATTAAGAGACTCTTCTGCTATCTGATGTCCAAGTTTTCCACTGCTTTGGGAGCTGTCCTCACCCTTCCACTGTGCAGGCCAACACACCCCCACCAGCCCTAAGAGGGAAGGAGATATCCCAGATTGCTCTGATATCAGATACTTTCTCTAAGCTCCCTAGAAGTGAGCCCCTTGTAAAAATGCTTCCCTCCCAAGGTTTCAATCAGCTACAGCCTTTCAGAAGTTTCGGAGCTCAGTGATTTATTGCTCCTTAGCAATCTTGTGGTTTCTTCTGTGTTACACTGGAAACCGTCAGAAGCGTAAGGGAGAAAGTATCAATTAACAGGCTCATTGGTGCCAAAAGCCACCTATGTGCAAGAATAGGAATGATGTCTCAGGTTCAGAGAACGGAGGTGAACCCTGCTCAAGAGTGGGAAGGATTAGTGCTGTGGATGCAAGTTGGGAACCTGTTAACTGAGACCCTTTGCAACTTGTGACTGTGCTGGTCTACAAAAGTACAATGTTTATCGGCCGAATCCTGCACAGATTTATCACCTCTGTGACATGGCAATAGAAATGATAAATCTGTGCAGGATTTGGCTGATAAACATTGTGCTTTTGTAGACCGGCACAGTCACAAGTTGCAGAGGAGCAACAAAGACTGAAAAGAAGAATCCTTTTTTGTTTTCATTATTAGACAAGTTACTGACAGCTGATGGAGTCCAGCCATTTCTCTTCTTGTATTTCAAGGCTTTTTTTTTGTTTGCATTAACTAAATTAAATCTTGATTTGAGGGGGACAAGACTGGCGGGGATCAGTGCACTAGGCCCGGTTTGGAAAGCAGCTGGTATCTATAGATGGCTGCAGCTATCAGCTGGGGTGGCTCAGCACGTGGCTGGGGTTCATAGCATGCTGCTCCCATTGTGGTGCTGGGGTTGCCGGACAGTTCTTCAGTGGCTTCTTTCAGAGATGACTAAATGGCACCATCTGTCCAGAGCGGGCCCATGTTTTGAGTTCAGGAGCTTTTATTTTTATTTGCTTCTTAAGCTGCTAAGTGCTTGCTTTACTCTTCGGCTGCATTGCTTACCGCATGGGCAGGACGGGTTAGGCCCCCTCTTTGCTAGTCAATAGGGACAACAGTGGAAATGTAATTTTGGTGATGCAAACTATTGGCTTCCAAAAGGATTTTTTCTCCCTGGGAATAGAAACTGTCTGGGTTTTAACAGCATATGTAACCAGATTGCTCACACTGAGTTTCTTCCACAGAACCGTCTGTGTGGATAACTGCTAATCGGTGGAAGCAAGCGTTTTCATGGTCCCTTGATAACGTGCATTCCCTGTCCTTTATAAACATTAATGTATGTGAAAGCTTGCCTAACTTTATCCCAACCAGGCAGTTGGCCCAATAAAATATATCACCCAACAATTCCTTAAACCTCAGCCAACCCCCTTAAAGTAGCCAAGATGTATTATTTCCAGGTTCTAGATGGGGAAATTGAGGCACAGAGAAATGAAGTGGCTTGTCCAAGATCAGCTGCAAACCTGCCCAGCTCCAGTTCCTTCTTCACACGATGCCTCAGTCATCAGACATTCCCTGTCAATTGGTCCCATCAGCTTGCATATAGGTTTTACAGGATGTGTGATTTATGGCTTTCCGACTGAATAAGAACCTGCGTCTGGAATTGTGCTGACGGGGATTCAGAAGAGGGCTGTGAAGTCCAGATCTGAATCAGAACGACTGGAATTTGGGAACGCTTGGATTTGGTGTTATAGGATGGGCCCTTGTTGCAAGAACTGGAGCTGGAGGCTGAATTCCTGCCTAGTTCTAGGGGTGGCAGAGACTTAAGGTCCAGCCAGGGTGCATCTCTAGTGTTTCCTTTAGTGCCTAGGGAAGGTGAGTTCCACTGGGTAAGTGACTTTGCTTTAAATTAACTTCTCTGTTAACTGGATGAATAACACCCCCACCTCCTCTGCATGACAGAAGTTACCAACAGAGCCAGCTCCCTCACCCAGTCTGGTGCCCTCCCTGCCAGACTGTACTGCCATTAAACTATCCTTTATGCTCTTTCCTTTCCCCAGGGTCCCCTTCTGTGAGGGCATATCCTCTCATCTCCATCATCACCAGGCAGCCCTCTGTGGTTTCCCATATCATCCCCGCAGCCACCAGCTCTCGGGTGCTGTCACCTCAGTCCTCCTCAGTAGGTGCCAGCTCAGAGACGCCAGTCAGCGAAACCCCTGCCAGCAGTGAGTCAGAAGCAGAACAGCCTACGGCACGGTCGAAGAAGCCCCGTCGCAGCCGGACCATCTTCACAGAACTGCAGCTGATGGGGCTGGAGAAGAAATTCCAGAAGCAGAAGTATCTGTCTACTCCAGACAGGTAGGAGGGGCTGTGTGGGGTCTGGGCAGCTGGGCTGAGGCCTGGGGAAGAGATGTCAGCGGTACATCATGGCCCGAATTCTCCTCTGGCCAGCAAGGGCAAGCTTTGGTGCTATGCGCAGTTTGGCTTGTACTCCCACCTGTTGGGAATGGGATCACCCTGTGCATGTACCTGCAAGACATTAAAAAGGAGAAGGAGATCCTTTTAGCCCAGTTGCTTAGTGGTCAGGGCACTTGCCCAGCCAATGGGTATGCTCTATCCATCAGCGCACAGGCTAGTTATTGCCCAGAGCAGTTTTGAGCCCTCTCCTTGAGATGAACCTTCGAACGCCTTCCGGGTGCAGATTACTGGGCTGGAAGGTGGGAGGCATCAGACACCGTGGGTATTAGTGTTTATTAGTCATTACCAGTTGTGGTAGCTAGTTATTACCCAGCCTTACATCCATGAGTAGGAAATACAAAACCATTAAGACACCAGTGCAGCCAGAGTGCAGCTACTGAGCATGCTCAGTCGGGAGATGCAGAGGGAACATAACTACATAGAATACTGTGCAAAAGTGACAAAAATTGCAGCTGCGTGCCTATCAAAAAGCACCACCTGGGCATGTAAAAATGAAATTACCTTAAGCCTGTCCTCTCCGTTTACTCCATGTGTCACCAGTTACCTGTAACAAATACTTTAAAAGCACCAGCTCCAGCCCGCAATAGCTTTTTGGGGGTGAGGGAAGAATAGAGAGTGACCAATACACAGACATCCTGGGAACGGTATCACGCTCCTGCCTAGTATCCATTTCTGTCTGATCAGGACACAACCGTGCGTGATAAAGGCTGTTGGGAAGGTAGTTTGGCCGAGTCGCAAGGTGTCTGGCAGTGAGGTGTCTTCACCCCTTGTTGGCTCTCCATACTACTTTAAGAGAAACAGGGGAAAACGTGTCTTACAGTAATAGCAGGAAAGGCAGCAGAAGAGCTGTTCAGCTGTTTCCATGCTGAGCGCTCTCCAGCTGTATTGAGCTGTCTTCTCCCTCCGCAAAGATGACTTGGCTTTTGGCGGAGGCCTCGGGCAGATGACCAGATTCGGTTTCAAGGCTAACGTTTCACAGGATCAAAGAAGCCATGAATAGAACATATCGGTGCATGCCAGCATGCATCCATGCAGAGGGAGACATCCGAGAAACAGCGAAGGCCCCTGTCCCTTCGACAGGGGTGCACCAGGTGTTCTGCCTGTCCAGTGCAGATGTGCATGGCTTTGTCAGTGTTGCAGTGTGGAGGTGTGATTGCAACATCAGCAGGCATAGACAAGCTAGCTCTTGTCGAGCTAACTTGGGTAACGGTGCAGCCAAGTAGCAGCAGCCCAGGCATCAGGTGTGCTATGTAAATACACAGCATTGCTGATGGGCCTGTACAACCTGTGTTAAAGCCTGTGCTGCAGTCTTGACTGCTAGCTAGATTAAAGCTACTGTGGGGGCATGTCTGTATGTTGTCGTCATGCCTCTGACAGTGTAGATGGTCATTTGTATATCAGCCCTGTTCCACCGGCCCATGCCCAGCAGAGAAAGTCCCCGTCTCTCCCTAAATGTCTCGGAGGATGGGATTTGCGCTTATTGTTTAAGCTGGTTGAAATGTTTTCACTTTGAAATTTTCCCTGAAGAAGCTGATTACCCATGGGAAGTGTTTAATTGCAGCCGACTATTTTAGTTTTCCATTGGGAGCACTGGAACCCAAAACAGTTGTACTGAATGACGTCCCCACCTCCGCACCCTCCCTACACATTGGACCAAAATGACACTTTAGGTTGAAATGAAAATTTTACATCAATATTTCACATCTAAACTAACACGTTTCTTTATTCAACTTACAGGGTTGCTTCGTTTTAGGATTTGGAAATAAACCTTGATTTTGTTAATTTTCAATTTCTTATTTTGGGGGCAGTGTTTACTGCTTTCTCTCTCATTACTCTCTCTGCTTCCCTTTTATTCCACTAGAGAAAGGGATGGGTGGGAAAAAGTATCATAGAAATCACAGGATCCCAAAAGTAGGGCTGGAAGGGACCTTAGGACATCATCGTAAGGTCCTCACATAGAGGTTAGAAAAACACTTGCCTGGCATGGTTTAATCAAGGATGATCCTGCCCTGAGCACGGGACTGGACAGGATTTCATTAAATGAAATATGAAATCCTGTCCAGTCCTGTGCTCAGGGCAGGATCATCCTTGATTAAACCATGCCAGGCAAGTGTTTTTCTAACCTCTATGTGAAAGTGGCATTTCAAAATTAAACTACATTTTAAAAAAATGTTTCTTTAGAAAATTCCCACAGACTCCCCAGATTTTGGAGGGTGACATTTTTCAAAAGCGGGGCATTTGGTCTCTCCAGCCAGCTGTAGCACTAGTGCAGGAGATTTGCCTGACAGCTGTTCGTGTGAAATCCTCCCAAAGGAGATGAAGAAACTGTTGAAGCAGGCTGGTCTGGTAGAAACGTGGGCCAGTGGACAGACAAGCGGTCCAGATCTCAGGATATTTGAATTCTGTTTCTGGCTCTGCTTTGGGTCTGTCCTCCGATGATCTTTAGCAGGTCATCTCATCCCGCTGTCCTTCAGTTTAATTTAGGGAGTTGGGAGACTAATTTATTGTTTTATGTAAAGACCATTTTTGTAGAGACAGCCTGGTTGTTGGAGTGATCCATTGTTTTAGTCAAGACAAAGGGAATTTGTCATTTGTTTTCAAGGATTTCCCATTGGCCTTTGTGGGGGTGAGCAGGAGGAAGAACTGTAGGTTCAAATTCTAGGACAAGAAGTTTGCCAACTCAGAGTAGTTTTGCAAACCTGAAGAAGCTCAGTGAGCCCCACAAGTAGCACTGACTCCTAATTTTAAACTACTTTGTGGGTGAGAAGCTATGAACTTCTGCATTGACATCTACTGATAAGCTCATGCGTCACGTGAGCAAAGCAGGGGTCGGATTTTCATGTGAGCGCAGCTTTTCAGTGGCACGCAGCAGCTTTTAAGCTGGATCTCTGAGCCCTGTTGACTAGGACGGCCATTAAGTACAACTCCGTAGCTCCCGAGGTTCAGGTGCTGTGCTGACTGACTCAGCACAACCTCAAATGACGAGGGGGATGATCCCATCAATCAGGCACTCAGGCTGGCTGAGTTAACTTGACAGCATGAATATTTCTGGGCTTTGTACGTGACCGAGGCTGACGAGCAGTCTCTCCCCCCGTGCATTTTCCCCTCTCTTTCTGTTTGTTTCTTTGGTTTCCTAGGCAATGCTCGTCACTCTAATGCGCGTGGCGAGAGACTGTAATGGTTACAGGTGATATAGCTCTGGTAAGGCACATGCTGTCTGGCACGAGTTAATCAAACAGACATTTTCCCGTGTGAAATCCTGGCTGGAAGCACAGTGGCAAGGAAGTAGATGGCAATTTGTGCTCGTTCTTGCAACTTTGGACACGGGGCAAAATTGAGGCACGTGGAGGGCTACTCTGTAGCACAGCTAATTAGAAATGAGGGAGCGTAGACAGATGGGATAATGCCTGGAACTAGTATCTCGAGTCTTCTTTCCAACACAACAGTTTATCTCCTTTGATTTCAATGGAGCTACTCCAAAAAGTACTGTAAGCAAAAAGTGAACAAGCGCCTTCAGCTGCAATGGGGTCCCAGAATTGCAAATGCACACGTGTGTGGTTGGGGGGTATTTGACTATATAGGCATGTGCCTGTCCTCTCTATACAGGCAGCTAGAACAGAAGTTTTGTTATAATATCTTAGCCTTGGACAGCTTGTATCCCTTCTCCAGACCCACAAAACACTGCACAGATAATTCATAAGGACCAGAACACATTTGACTGAAGCTCCATGCTTGCAGCTCATCATTGCTAGGTTGTGCGTGGTCTCACCGGGCAGCATAATGTTTCCTGGGCTCTGCTGAGAGTCTCCGAACTCATCCCTACGCCACTGAAACACTAGATTTGTTTTTGTTACTTAAGTGACACCAAACGAATTACTCCAGGGGTTAGTTTGGTCTCTGATCTCCCCATTTTGCAGACAGGCAAAACTAGGCTTATTGAAGATGAAGACAACATTTCAAAGGTAGATGCTAATTTGGAGTGTCTCCATTCTTGGGGGCTCCTCTGAGATGCCTTGTGTTCAATTGTACAACCTGCTGGGCCCCAGTGACTCCTGAAATTACAAGTGCCAGTTCTCATAAGTTTTAAACACCAGCATTTCAAGGTGTTTCAGGCTGGATGACCAACCTCCTGAAAGCTTTTGCCTCATTCATTTATGTGATCAAACTGGAAAAGATCGAAATAGAACAGATATTCTCCTGTCTCCTGGTCCCGTGCCATAAGCAAATGACCATTCTTGCTTCCTCCATGAAACCATACTTTTTGGATACTAAATTTATATAATTTTCCGCAGAGCTGAAGATAAGACACAAGTTAGAACCTAGCAGCTCTCTGTTTCAAGCATTAACGTCCTTGTGTATGAGCCACACGTTAGTTTTCTGCAAGATATAGGCACAGACTGGCTACTGCCATGCATCTGATTTCAACTTCTTCTTCTACATGTTCTTTGTCAAAGTGTTCCTCTTTCTTCCTTTTGTAGGCTGGACCTCGCTCAGTCACTGGGGCTGACTCAGCTCCAGGTGAAGACGTGGTACCAGAACCGCAGGATGAAGTGGAAGAAAATGGTAAGAACTTCCAAGCAGATCTTCTTGTCCAGTTTCAGAGGGGCGACTGTTGAGCCAGGCTACATCACCAGCAGTGTCAGCACAGCTCTGCTATAGATACCAGCTGAGAATCTGGTCCAGACTTTTAGCTTTTAGATTGTGGGGGAGAAAGGTATCTACAGTTGCATCTTAATAATAAATGGTGATCCTCTTTGACTAGACTCAGATGCCCACAGCTGTTCTGGCTGGACATAGATTTTCCATTCCAGGGGCTAAAAGATGTTGCCCAGTCTGTCTAGGAGTTTTGGAAGATACTATCCACTATGTATTAAAATGTTCTTTATATACTAACATAAGGAGAACCTATTTATTACCGTTCTTGCAGAAATTGTTGCATTACTCAAACCGAGAGAAATTAATCTGGCTTCTACAGGAAACAGATCCAAATGTAGCAAACCGTCTCGCAATTTTTGCTTATAAGGCTGAGGCAATTAGAGTTAAATATCCTTTATTACTGACATGAGTGATACATTTGAACATTACATTTGATTTTATTGTCTCAATTGTGAGTCTCTCTACAACAATATTATAGATTCGTGTCTTGATTTACTACTATATTTATATTAATCACGTTTTTATGTTGGTGGGCTCTGTTTTTAATATTTGTAGTTGGGTTATTTTGTTCGAACTTATTCATATTTATGGGTGTACGTGTGTCACGTCATCTGCGGGAGCATGGCATTTAGCCAGAATCCTTAATAAATTGAATTGAATTAGTTTTCAGGGCTGTTTACGTCACCTGGCAGAAAGTGCATTAGGTGAGAGTAGCTATACGCAGCAGTGTAGATTCAGGGGCAAGGACTCACGGGAGGTGTAACACAACTGAGGGAAGGACAGGAGTTTCTCTATTGTATTTTGGCAACCCTGTAGTCTTGGGAATTGTACATATCTCCTGGATAAGATGAGGTTAACCACCCTCAGGAAAGAAATGCAGCTTCCATAGGTAAAGCCCCTGCTTCTTGCTTGGATGCCATCTTTAGCCCTGCCACGGCCTTTATCTTGTTCCACATATGTATGCTTCTGCTCCCTGTGCTCTGCTCATGTTTCTGTCCACTTCTTCCTTCCTCTCCCTCCTCTACTCCTAATATCAAGTCTCACTCTCTTTTCCTTCAGGAAAACCTTCAAGAACCCCAAGATGTTCAATAAATCACTCCTACTATAATGCTGACAGGAGCCTCTAAAAATGGATTAATTATAGATTTCATAGACAATAGGGCTGGAAGGGACCTTGGAAGGTCATTGAGTTCAGCCCCCTTGCCCCAGGGGCAGGAAGTCAGCTAGGGTCAAAGGATCCCAGCCAGATAAGTGTCCAAATGTTTCTTAAAAGAGTCCAGAGTAGGTGCCTGCACCACCTACTTCAGGCCTTGGCGGCTCGGACAGTAAAGAAGTTTTTCCGTATGTCCAGCCTGAAATGGTCTTGGAAGAGTTTGTGACCATTGGACCTTGTCATCCCTTGGGGTGCCTGGGTGAACTGATGTTCCCCCAGATCCTGATAAACACCCCTTATATACTTACAGGCTTCTACCAGGTCCCCTCCCTGAGCCTGTGCATTTCCAGGCTGAACAGTCCCATAGCTCTCAGCTTCTCTTAAGGCAAGATTCATATTTCCCTGTGCAATTCTGCAGGAAGGTAAACCTGCAAAAAACATCTAAAGTTAAATAACATTCGGGAGTGTTTGTATCTGGGGTTTTGATTCAAGGTGCCCTCGTGCTTCAGTGATCGAGGGAAGAGTACGTGTAGCTACCTACTCAAGTAGGTTCTAGGATGCTAAATAGAAGTGAAAGTTATTTTGCTGATCCATTCTGGTAAACTAACCAAATGGGGTTCATTGCTTTCAACTCGGGAGTAAATAAAACTATCCGAGTGCCTCTCAAGATATATCTATGCTGCAAAATGCAGTGCCATATATTGGTACCCACGTTGATTCAAAGTCAGCTAGCTCTGGTACTAAAAACAGGGTTGCTTTGTAAGCAAGGCACTATATCTGGTTCAGTTTTCCAAGAAGCAGGATAAATTAGCCTGGGTAGAGTGCTGTACTAACACAACTACATTGTTTCTGGCTCCACAGCTAGCTAGCTTGGGGTTAGCCCGGGGTCCCCCATGTGTCCCTGAACTGTGCAGACTAAACCAGGAGAGAAAGGAAAGCTACCAGGAGGACCAACAAGAGGAGGGAAAGCTAGTTGGAAAGCTCTGGCTAAATCTCATGACTGCTGTTATCTAAATAAGGAGGGGAAAAGCCATCTCTGGAAGGGAGCTGAATTTTGCATTTGTGCATGTGTGGATGCAGAGAGCACAGCATGGCTGAGTCCTTCTGAGCCTGTCTGCATGCTTGAGGCTGGTGCTTGTTGTGCTAATATAATTGAAAGGAATCAATGGGTGAACTTCCCTTTGCAGAAGGGCAGCACTAAGCTCTTTTGAAGTCCCATGAGGTGTGGGTCACCACATACTCAGATGAGTTGCCTGTAGGCCTTGTCCCCAATGTCTTCACAGGGATGAAAGCCACCCTCATGTACCAGCAGGACCTTAGATGGCAGCCACACTAGAGGACTCTTAAGGTGAATCCTGACTTGTAGCATCTTTTGCTCCAGGTACTAAAAGGTGGGCAGGAAGCTCCAACGAAGCCCAAAGGCCGCCCAAAAAAGAACTCCATCCCCAGCTCAGAGGAGATTGAAGCTGAGGAGAAGATGAACAGCCAAGCTCAGCAGGAAGCACTGGAGGCATCTCAGGTACCGGAGGAGCCTGAATCAACAGAGGAGAAACAGGATGTCTCCTCCGAGATGGGGAAGTCTCTAGAGCACACACCAGAGACCTCCCCCGAAGACCTAGGGCCATCCAGCAAATCTCTGCCCAACAAATTAACAGGAGAACAAGGACTAAGGAGAAAGGCATGTTGATCAGAAACAGGACC